AAAGAAAAAAAAAAGTTCTAAGCACAGAACCCTGAGGAACTCCACAATTAATATGACCTAATTCAGATCTTACATTTTTTGCCTGAACAAACTGTTTCCTGTTATTCAGATAACAAGACACCCACTCTATTTCTAAACCTTGCCATATTTATTCAACTTTGCAATAAGGATGTTATGATCAATAGTGTCAAAGGCCTTCATTAAAACAACAAAGGCAGGGCTGTGGCGGTGTGGTTAGTAGAGTCATCCTGTAACTAGAGAGTTACCAGTTCAATCCCCTGTTCCAGCTGTCTCAGTCATTGTGCTGTGACACTTCACCTGCCTTGCCTGCTGGTGGTAGTCAGAGGGTCCGCTGGCACTGATGCATAGCAGCCCCAGCTCTGTCAGTGTGCCCCAGGGCAGCTGTGGCTACAATGTAGCTTTACCACCATCAGTGTGTGAATGTGTGTGTTACAGTGCTGTAAAACACTTTGTGGTTCAATGGGAGTTTGTAAAACGCCTTAAAAGTTTCAGTCCATTTACCAAAAACGCTGACACAGTAAAATTTTTCATCAACAGCAGTTGTTATCGCTTCCATTAGTTCCCTGAGAGCCATTGATGTTGAATTCTTTGTTGTTGCCTACTAATTAAAATATGTTGTTTATATTGATCTAATCTGGTTTAAAAGAATTTCTCAAAAATTCTTAAATAACTGTGGCAACAAGGATATCGATCTGTAATTTGTGAACACACATTTATCAACACTCTTATAAAGAATTACCTTAGCAATCAATGTTCATCTTGTCTCAAAATATTCCTGTTAAAATTACAAGTTGTATAAATATGTAAATGGACCTATAACTTAACTCATTATAGCCTTTACAAACATTGCATCCATCGTATCTCAATCTTTTGATCTTTTATCTGCAAGAATTTTTACAATGTTTAATATTTCTTTCTTATCAGTTTTACTAAGAAAAATGCCTGTATGACTCACATCACTATCTACATTTGGTATTTTAGCTGCGAGGCTATGGCCAACATTCAGATAGTATTGATTAAATTTGTTAACTATTTCACTTTGATCGTACATTTTCTTATCGTTCTTTACAAAACAGTGTGGAATACTTGCATGTAAGGTGGTGTAATGGAACTAATACTTTTATGTTTAAGCTAGTTATTCATGACATCCTTTAATGACCTAGATTTTCATGACATGCTGTTCATCTGCAGATAGAATGGTTAAAGTCAGA